ACGACGGAAAAATATTCGGTGCTGATGAATTTTCCTGCCTTGAGATATTGAGACTCGAACATTTCACCAGAAGGTAAGGGTGAGGGTCAAATATTCGAGTCTCAATATCTCAAGGCAGAAAAATTCATCAGCACCGAATATTTTTCCGTCGTACTACTATGACCATGGGCTACCAGTATGGCAAGTTTCAAGTCAAAATTCAAAAGTCGGATTTTGTTCGAAATCCAAGCTCTGTAGGCAAAAACTGAGTAAAGCTTCAATATCTCAGCAACAAGGCACCACGGGGATGAACCAGCTTAGAGTATTTCACTACTCACTGAGGTCTACAAGATACAAGTAGTACGGTTTCAAAAGCGATTTATAACCTAAAGAGGTTCTCTCGTTAGTCAATCTTATTTCTCATTATGAATTTCCAATATTGAAGATAAAAAAATGATTAAAATTTCCAATAATTTGAATCTTAATCTTTTTTTCTCGAAATGTATTCTTAGAATATTGTAAACTATTTTTAATCATGTAAAGAACAAATTATCATTATCGATTACAGATACTATTTCTCCATTCATATTCAGTCTTGACTTAAAAATTATAGTCAAATCAAATTAAATATTTCATTTATCAGATCGATAAGTAGCTAACACTTGACAATTAGCAATGTCTGAACAAAGAAAATTGGCGTTGAACAGTATGCGAGCTCAACGAGAGCAGTGATCGTTTCGGTCCGTATTCGGTCCGTATTTCCGCCCTTAATTAGAGGTTGCCTTTCGATATTGTCTTGTAATTTTATCAACGTTTTGGAAAAAATACTGGATCCACATGCGGACCATTAAATTGTAACCCGGTCCAGTCCGATCCGTGAATTTTCATAGATTTTTCCGTCCCGTGAAGATCTCGAAACGAGAGTGCAATGACTATGTTCTAAGATGTTATGTTCACAATGTATATTGTATACTAAAAATGATGGACTATTTTCACCTGTGATGAACATGAACATCGTCTATGCTAGAGATGATATTACATGTTTCAAAATCTCGTTTTATCCACATTATTTTTCTGATCTGATGTGGTTTTTGATCCCACTCGAATCATCATTACAAAATAGATTAAACGTAGAATAACAGGAATAAATATTGTAGATGATTAATTGGACTGTCAATACTATAAACAAGTATATCTGAAGCTAACCTTACTAGCCACTTCATTAATTAACTGTTTATCATTGTCAAAAGATGTTAGCTTCAAACTTAGATAGAAGAGATATATATTTTCGTACTTGACGATAACTGACTACTATGACGTCCATCTACAGACAACCAAAATTAAAATGACATAAACACAAGATAACAAGTTTGACTATATACACTCTGCAAATATATACTCCACTTTACACAAAGGAAGAGAAATAAAAAAGAAAATATAATTATAAATATATAGTAAAGGTTAAGAAATATCGATGAGTCTAATTAAGGAAAAAAAATAGTTCTCTAATCAAGCCAACGTACAATTATTTTTAGTAAGATAAAAATTATGTGATAGATTTTAGTTAATATGATTGGCATTTTTGAATATTTGTATAATTAAAATTAGCTTGAATGAAACGTAATTATTTTTTAGTTTGATAGTCTATTTCTAGTTCTATTAAAAAACAGGACATCCAATATAAATGAAAGTTTTTGTTTAAACACACGAATATTACCTACAATCTATGGGCATGAGATTGAATTTTCTACTTACATGTTCTGTACCATGAAATGTTAATGTTTTCGTTTCTGTGTTTAATTCAACATATTTTCGATACAATAGATCATCGTCAATACACTCTAGACAAAACAAATTATTCATCATAAGATAAAATATGTACAATTTCGCTTTTACTACGAACCTGTTACGTCAAACCAACAATAGATGATCTTTGAAATCGGATTATATTCCAACGATAACTCTTCCTTCATCTAAACAGATAAAACTTAGTTTACTACAGGAGATCTATTTCGACTTTATATGTTTTGAACAAAACGCTAGGAAATCCTCTACAACCACGCTAAAATAACAGTAAATATCAACTCTTCTACTAATCCATTCATTTCATTTACAGTCCAACAGCTGTTTTAGGTTCACTAAGTGGACAAAATGTTCGTGAAAAAAGAGTCTAGTTCTGCTACAAATACATCTTATTATGACAGTTGATGCTGGTATGAGAAAAAGGAGTTAAATATACTAAAGCAAAAAAACGAGTACATACTAAGATTTCCGTTGTTTATTGTTTCAAAAATTCATTTGATCAAGAATAAAATTCAAATCATGGTCATGTAATTGTTGTTTTAACACTGGTATCTGACATGAGTTGTTAACAGGAAGAACTGAAAACACCACCAAATGCAAAAGCATCTTAAAATGTCAATTTGAAAAGAAAAATATAGATTTCTCCATCAGATATCAATCATGATTCTTTCACAAGTAATAATTCGAACTGAATCGTTTACTACCCATTGTAGATGTCAGATATTCTCATAAAGATTACAAAAAAAACTCCCGAATAACTTATGCCTACTATAATAGCAACAAGAATCAACTTTTTATCAGTGGCACCTATTCGACGGTACGTTTGAGGTATAATGTCTCAATTGGAACAACGATGTAGTACGTTTTTGAAAATTATTTTCCATTGCTATCCGTGAGGGTGAAGGACAAATTATGTTTTTGTAGGTGAAAGAAAGTTTAGTTAAATAGAAGATGGGACATATCATGTTTTACAGAAGACAAATTGTAGATGGGATCTTCTCAAACTCTCAGGTGTGTGATCGCGGCTGATTTTTATAGAAAAACAAGAAATCCACATATTAGTAACTGTATCAATTGCTATCATTGATTGAATGAGCATTAGTATCGTTGAACTCGACTCGATTAAATTAAGATAAAAGTTAGTTTAGACTAAACTCAATATTAGATGTGGTGTTTATGTTTATTTATTTTATTTATTTTTGTAATTCGATTACTGTTGATTGGTTGTTTATGGAAGAATTAGATTGCAGCAATAAGCCATCCTATATTTGCAATTTTATAGTAGTTTTGTAATTTCCGATATCGGATTTATAATTAAGATTCATCGTTTTGTCACAGAAAATTTATTCTACACGTCAGTATTAGAGAAACCAGCTCTACTTTTGTTGTGGAAAATCGCACTGTAAATAATTTATATATATATGTGTATGTGTTATTATTAAATATTTGTGTGAAATTCAATGACATCTTTGGATGAAAAGGAATGTTACCTTTACTTTCACTTATATACATTTTTTTTAATGCTTATAGTCGGCGTATTTGGTCTCCAAGCCACAAAAAATCCTCCTAGGGTCGTTCTTTCAATTTGCTTCGTTTCATTAGTTCGCTAACTAAAACCATAAGCGCACGTGGTATTTCTTGGATAAAATAATCGCAAAGCACAAAACTGATATGATGTTTCAGGACAGTCTTTCTAATGATCAGCGTACGACGATCTTGACCAGGAAGCCAGTTCTACTTTGAGTGTTCTAACAACGTCTGCTTCTCATCACTCTGCTCAAAGTCGTTTTTGAATGCTTTCCGCTAAAACTTTGGCCGTGTTAACAGGCGTTCGCTAAACAGATGACTACAATCGATGGCCAATCATTCCCATTCAACATCAGAGTGAGAAACGTTGAAATATCTTCAGAACTTTGAAAACGAGATAGATTGGAAGCCATTGTAAAGTCTAAACATCAACTAAAATCATCTTTTTAACGGTCACTGAATTACTGTGCTCTCTTTCCCTAATCAGGGTGTACATAGCAGAATCAAAATGTACTGACTATATTCTTTGTTCCGAATTCCAAAAACAAATGTATGCTTTTTGAGTTTTCGGAAGATTTGAAAGGATAGTAAGAGGTACTTCTACAGATCGATCACACACTCACACTCACACTCCACACACACCACAGTAGGGGGTGTGATCGATCTGTAGAAGAACCTAGTAAGAACCGAATATTTTACTACAAATTTCTTCGTCATGAATTTTATTTCGAGTTTACTTATTGTAGTATTTTTTACATAAAACATGAAAACAGAGATCACAATTAAGAAGACTGAATAATTGTTTTTTGTCTGAAGAACTTTTCACAGATAAGAGGGGAACTGGAGAGTGAATGCTTGCTCCATTTTCCGCACTTCAACCCTCTGGATTTGATCTGAATATAGTGCATTAATCAGAACATCTGTTTGATTTCAGATCATGAATAATATCGAACAAACATTACAACAACTAATCGATCAGTTTCCAGATTTAATTCACGACGTTCAACCATACATAAAGAAAAAAGTGAGCTTTATTAATATCTATGATTTATTCTTCTAAAATTATTTTCCATTTTTTCCTCTCATTTTAGCAATGGATAAAAGATGACCGTCGTCAATTGATAAATACTCTCGTCCAACAGTTATTGACAGATGATGAACATTTAGAATATTTTTTTCGAAATTTTTCTATTTATTTCATACCATTTATACATCGATTATGTGCTGCTGTACAAGGAACGCACAATCAAGCAATTCGAGAACGTTTTGTTTGTACTTTAGCAAAAATTCTTCCATATTTTCCGACGTTACAAACGTACGTTTATCCTTCTTTCATGCATTATGTTAATATTTCTCCATAATATCCTCTTTGTTTGTTATTGTTTTTAGTTTAACTGAAAAATATATGCTCAATAGCTCTTCATTATTTCTTCGATTTGATACCAATGAGAGTCCACGAAAAAAATTCAAACCAGTATGAAACTATTTGAAAGTATAAAAGTGTGTTGTAAAATGTAGTTTTTCTCTCGCTTTTTAGAAAACATCTCCACCATCCACAGAGCAGTTGGTTTTATCTGCTTTACGTTTTTTATTTTTAAATTTTTCGCATTATTCAAAATTATGGAATTGGAGTTCGTTAGTGAATTTACACTCAGTTACAGACGATGAACGAATAAAATGGTGAGATTTTCTTAGAATACTATTTTTATGGAACGTTAAAGAAGGTGCATACTAACGAATAAACTCATCTGATATTAAACTATAGAGATCGGACCTATATTTTCTTATTTTTATCCTAGATACCTTCTAATCTTCTTAGATTCTTGAAAATATTTGTTTGTCTCTAGGTTAACCTACGTTTGTTTATCTATTGTGTTAAATATGTCCAGTGAACAACGATTAAAATTACAATCATTTCTTCGTTTGCATGTTTCAAATGAAACAATTTTAAAGTAAGTTTATTAAATATAGAGAAGTTAATAGAAAGAGGCAATGTGTGCTATTGACAGAATAAATCGGCTAAATTGTTAACTTACACGTTTTGAACAAAGATATCAGCATATACGTAGTTACTCGTATTGCAATATCAAAATGTTTGCTCTTATTTCTTCCATTCGAATAAAATATGAATCGTACAAGGCTATTTCTTTTATCTCTGTTATGTATAGAGTAGTCAAATGTTTGTATGATTATTATTATAATGTCGATCACATAATCAACAGCAAGATTTTGATTCAAATCTAAAAAATGACTTTTGTAGTAGTTTTTTGTTCTTTATTTAACACTGCTTTTCTTTTTTATTGAGATAGACAGTGGGAACTATTCTATTTCGAATATGATTATTGTTTTTTTGTTATAGATTGCATCAAACAATTCATCCGCTATTATCATTTGACTCATCAAATATAGTTCAAGACAAAGTGGAATTGTTTATAGCTGATGACTTTAAAAAACGCACAACATATATTGCTAATGTACCGTTGGCAAAGGTAAGAACTATAAACCTGTTTTCTTTTCAGAATTCATGTAGGTTTATTATTGTTTTCTTGTTGAGAGGATGACTATGAAATGACAACAAAGTTAGATTTAATTCAAACACCGTCAATTGAAAAATGTTTGAAAGAATTAACATTGGGAATATCGTTGGGATGGTCTATTCTGTTGTACTCACCATTGAGTAATGGAAAAACGAGTCTTATCGAATATTTGGCTCAACAAAGTGGAAAAAGACTAGTCAAAATACAATGTTCAGATCATATGGATAGTAAAGTAAGTAATTGAATAAGATCAGTCTCATTATCAGTGTTTGAGTTTTTTTTTGCTTCATCATAGGTATTATTAGGAACATATCAATGCACAGATAAACCTGGTGAATTCATTTGGACACCCGGTCTATTAGTGGAAGTAAGAACAGCTTTTGCTTTAGAATGAAACATGTGTCATATTTTCTGTATATTATAGAGCACATCTGAAGGAAACTGGCTGTTAATGGAAGATATTAATTGTGCTAGTTCCGATGTACTATCTGTAATTCAAATGCTAATTGAAACAAAAACTATTTTTACTGGTGGTTCTAATATTAATGTTCAGATGTCACCTGATTTTCGTCTGTTTCTAACTCAACGGTAATTTGCTTTAGTTTGTCTTCTTTAACATTTGTCATCATAAAGTATTTTCTGTAATGTTTAAAGGGATACTGGCATACCAAACCAATCAAATGAACTTTTGCATTTATTGAAATCTTTATTCTGTGTTGTATTTCCCTCATACGCAGATCAAGATGTTTTACAGGTAAGTAAATGAATATATTTTGATCATAATCAATTATTCGGTGTTTCTATGTTTAGATAATGGAACAGTTATATCCAAATTTAAATGAGCTACTTCCAAAATTGTTCGAGCTTTATCAGTTATTACGACATCAAAAATCAGTATCACTTAGCGGAGTAATTTCAAATAAAACAGCATCGAAACGAGTGGTTACATTAAGGTAGGTCAAATGTTAGCAAGAAAAAGTTAAAATTCTTCATATAAAAAACTGTCTGATTATCACAGAGATATGATTAATACCATACAATGTGTCCCCCTCTATAATTTACTGCAGGCTTTAATCACATCAGAATAGCTATGAGTACTCACTATAGCAGTGCACAGGATGTGGATGAGAACATCTCAGATTTGGATAATTTAGTCTAATAGTAAATTCTCTGCATTTGAATCGAAAGTACAAGTGTTCGATTCCGCTAGTTGTGAAGTTGTTACTTTTGTGCTTTGCTTCCCTCTGTTCTATCGTTATCTATTTCACTCAAATAACCAATGAGATGTCTTGTTCAAGTGACTTTGATGGACACTCGTCGCACAGCTTGTATAAAATCAAAATTGCATTCTGCGCTGAACAAGTGACTCCTAAAGAATATATGATATCATTGACCGCTTTTCAATTTTACGACAATAGATTCTATTCTATCATGTTGTTGATTGTGTGGTGATACATATTTTAGTTTTGATAACAAACATGGAAATTGAGATCAAGATGATGTATGTTCTTTCTTTTAGAGATTTATTAAAATGTTGTCGTCGTCTTTCAACGTCGTTATTAAACGAATCGTTAAATGCCGAATTTGCATTTTACGATGCATTTGATTGTTTTGTATCATTTTTATCGAAAACGGATCGCCAACAAATAACTAAACATGTTGGAACAGTATTCAATATTAATCCTCAACAAGTAAGCATTTATCTCAAGTAGTTGACAATTAGATTATGTTTACTTGGTAAAAGTAGACGTATAGTCGCAATATATTTTTGTTTTTCAAGAATGGATATGCTTTATCACTTTTCATCACACTGTTTTTATGCTTGTTTTAGTCTAATCATTATGCATTTAATTGTGGTTCAGACATCTCTGAAACGGATACTCATTTTGTTGTTGGAAATGTTCAATTAGAAATAAAAAAAGCAGCAAATTATTATAGGTATCTTTATAAGTGTCTATTGTTTGATAGATTAATGATCTTTTCTTCCTTTTAGTCAACAACAACGTCAACAACAATGTTGTTTTGCTCGTACTCGATCGTGTACATATTTAATTGAACGAATAGCTCGTTGTGTGCAAATGAATGAACCTGTTTTACTTTGTGGAGAAACGGGTGTGGGAAAAACTACATTAGTCCAATATTTAGCCAATAAAACAGGTGTGTGTATCATATTTAAAATCAAATCCGTAACACACATTCTATTTCTTTATTTTTAGGAAATCGTTTATATGTAATTAATTTAAGTCAGCAGAGTGATGCCGTTGATCTATTGGGTGGCTATAAACCGTTGGACACTCACTTAATTGTTCGACAGACATATAAAACATTTTTAAATTTATTTTCAACAACCTACATGAATCAAGATAAAACGCAATTCACATGTTTAGATCAAATTGAAGTAAGTAAAAATTAACTACTAATCATAATGTAAGTCGTTGTTTTACTATTTAGAAATGTATGAATATAAAACGTTTTAAAGAGGCAATTGAACATATGTTAAAAGAAATTGAACCTGCCAAAAGTAAATGTTCACAAGGTCAGTAGAGAATAGTACGAAAATCTTACATGTTTCACCTTCGTTTTGTATGTTTATTAGATGATAATTTCTCGGAATTAATTGATGAATGGTCTCAAATTAAGCAACAACTAGACACATTGTTATTATCGATAAAAAAACATCATTCAGCACTCATATTTCGATTTGTTGAGGTTAGACAATAGGAAAAGATCTTTTTCAACTACTATGTATCATTCTACCTTCCTCTCTTTCTAATTAGGGTGCATTAGTACAAGCGTTACGCCGTGGTGATTGGATACTATTAGACGAAATTAATTTAGCAACATCGGATACATTACAATTATTAAGCGGAATATTAGAAAGTCAAGAAGGTACCATATGGTTAGCCGAAAGAGGGTAGATATATATATATATATTTGTTAAAATAATAAATGAAAATCTTGCATCTTATCGTTTTCTTATCGTTTTAGTGATAAACAACCGATTCGTCGTCATCCTGATTTTCGACTATTTGGTTGTATGAATCCAGCATCCGATATTGGAAAACGTGACATACCTATTGGAATAAGAAACAGGTATCAAAACGATCTAGAATGCATGCGTTAAAGAAAACTTTGTACGCATATCTGTTCAACCTTCTGCTTGCTTTTTCTTCAGATTCACGGAATTTTATGTTGATGAACCTGATGAACAACAAGATCTTCTGATTATTGTTCAAGAATATTTACGTAATTCGAACGTTAACAAAGAAACAGTTGGTCGTATTGTTGAATTTTATTTGACAATTCGAAAAGATGTGGCTAGTTATTCTCTAACATCTTCTGTGAATAGTCGAATATCAATAACATACAGGTTAGAGAGAAACACTACATAAGCATCTTAATAATAAGTAATTATACCATGTTTATCTCTTTTAGTTTACGTACGTTGTGTAGAGCATTACGTTATTCAACATCAACTGGATTTTCTAAAAGAACACTGTACGAAGTAAGTCAGAAGGAAAAAAAGTTACTTATTCACTACTCTACTACTATTATAATCTTTTATTTAGGGTTTTTGTATGAGTTTTTTCAGTCAACTCGATCGATCATTTTATCCTGTGGTGGCCAAACGTATTGCTCAACAGATTTTACGTAAGTGTGTTATTATTATACTTCATTGAACGAAGATAAAAGCAGTTATTTTTTTTTATGGTTATTCGTTGCAGCTGAAACAACCATGAATTCCTTATTATCAATGAAAATGAAACAACCGACGGATTCTAAAAAATACGTGGAGATTGAAGGTTACTGGATATTACAAGGTGATAAAAAACCAATAACAAATGATCGATATATATTCACAGAGACAGTGAAAGAGAATTTAAAAAATGTAGCGAGAATATTATCAGCGAGGTAAGTCTAGCTTTATGTTTGATTATTCATTAAAAATCTTAAGCAGTATCAGGGGCGTAGCTAGCATCTCAGAGTAGGGGGTGATCCTGCCCAAAACATTTTTTGTTCTTTCAACCAAAAAACGTTTGTGTTGAAGCGGGGTGGTGACCACCAAAAACCAGGGGGGGGGGCACCCCCCCCCCCCCCCCAGTAACTACGCCTCTGAGCAGTATAAATGACTAGTCTAATACGAGAATATTGGACATATTTTAGTCTAGCAAGAAAATACTAATACAGAGATGCTTCTAACAAATAGAGATAATTGTTTTCTTTTTCTATTAGATTTTATCCAATCTTATTGCAAGGTGAAACATCTGTTGGTAAAACAAGTTTAATTCGTTGGCTGGCCGATGCAACCGGACATCATTGTGTTCGTATAAATAATCATGAGCATACAGATATTCAAGAATATATTGGCACGTACACCGCAACAGCCTCAGGAGACCTTCTATTTCGTGAAGGAATATTAGTTGAAGCAATGCGAAAAGGTTTTTGGATTATATTGGATGAGTTGAACTTGGCACCATCCGATGTATTAGAAGCGCTTAATAGAGTAAGTTTGGTAGAAGAAAGAAGGAAAGGTCTGTCATATGGCATACACTAATTTTAGGTACTGGATGAAAATCGTGAATTATTTATAACAGAAACGCAAGAAACTGTTCAAGCACATGAACGTTTTCAGTTATTTGCTACTCAAAATCCAGCTGGTGGTCGTTATGGTGGTCGAAAATTGTTATCGCGTGCATTTCGTAATCGTTTTATTGAATTAAACTTTTCCGAATTACCTCGTCAAGAACTTGTTACGATTATTCATAGAAAATCTGATCTACCTGAATCGTATAGTCAAATTCTTGTAACAGTCATGCATGATTTGCAAAAACATCGCTCGAAACAAGGTGTATTTGCCGGAAAACATAGTCTTATAACATTAAGAGACTTATTCAGATGGGCAGAACGATATGCAATGACAAAAGAATGTAATGATTGGAAACAATTTTTGGCCGAACACGGTAAGATCTAAAAACAATAGTTTCAAGTTGCATGATTTAATGTATTGTTATAGGTTATCTTTTGCTGGCTTGTCGTTCCCGCGACCAGGATGATGTGAATACAATTCGTTCAATAATTGAAAAACATTTTTCTAAACAAATTGATGACGACAAATTATTTTCCATAAATGATGACGGAAAAACAGGCGGTAGTAAATATTCAACATCTGAAATTTTAGCAAAACTGATCAAAACAAATAAAATTCAGCACATTTGTTGGACAAAATCATTTCGTCGCTTAGCAATTCTAACAGCTTTATGTCTGCAATACGATGAGCCAGCATTACTCATTGGCGAGACAGGGTACACACACATTCAAGAATATATTAACGAATGAGCCTGTTCAGGTGCCCAACTTGGTTTTGAATGATTTATATCTCGATCGATAGAGGAAAGGCAGTTAGAAGAAACCTTAAAGGGATTTCCATGTCGCTTCTTTCAAAAGTTATAAAGGTTTTCGTCTTTTTTG